TGCCCCTTCTCTCGTGACAGACTTACTAGCTGGACCTGGCTACTCTCCATGCTGCCAGGCTGTGCTCCTGGCAGCCTACATGCTGCACTGTGGCTGCATGCATGCACAGGGCATTTATCAGCAACATTATCAGCCACATCAGCCAAAAAAAGCCAATTGCTGATATTGTCAATTTTCCTTCTATCGGTGCCAATCCAATATTGGACCAATGTATGGGTGCACCTCTACCTCTAACCATACATGCAGCCCTCCTTTGGACTCTCTCAAATTTCTCCACATCTTTCCTGAAGTGCAATGCCCAGAACTGGATGCAGTACTCCAGCTGCAGCCTCACTAAGGCCGAGTAAAGCAGGAGGATGACATCTTTAGTTTTATTTGAGATGCATCGGTAGACACATGACAGTGTTTTGTTTGCTTTGCTGGCTATGGCATTGCATTGGTGGCTCGTGTTCATTGTATGGTTTATCAAGACTCCCAGGTCTCTTGCTGTGGTGCTGGTAAGTATAGCACTGCCAAGCCTGTAAGTATGTACCAAACCTTCATTTTTCCCCACTGCTTTACAATTAGTATTACCTTGTTGCAGCAAAAGCAAGTTCTTCAGTAGATTTAGCTAATTCTTCTGCAGTCTTCCTTAAGTCAGGAAAGGCCTCATTATCCACACCTTCCCACTCCATTGCTATAATGAGATGACAAAGCTGAGCAGCCATGGATGAAATAATTCTCTCAGTGGTTTTGCTGTTTATTAGAGTGCTGATGTCATACAAATACAAAGGCTCCATTGCTTCTAAGTCTGCAAACAAGCACATGCCAGTTTAGATACATTCCACTGTAGAGTGATATTAATTGATAACAATGATGCCCTGTGCTTACATTCCATCTTCCACCTGAAAAATTTCAAAGAATGCTGGAAATATTCACAAATTCACTTCCCAACCCCTTGTATTAGCCACAGTTTCCCTGCCATCTGTGTTCCATGGTTGGACATGAGGAGTGACTCTCAGGCAACTGAAGTCCTCTGGGGGATGACAGCATGCGTGGAAATCTGTTGACATCGGCCATAATCAAAAGAGTGGACTAAACTTACAGCTGGTGCAAATTAATAGACCCCCCACCTTGAAGTCAACAGATCCCAGCATCTGTTTACAACAGCAGTGAATTTGACCCAGTGTTTTTAGTCATTAATTAAAATGATTCAGGCAAGACAAAAAACTGCTTAAACCTTCAAACAGAATTCATACAAAACTTCAAGAAGTTTTGTTTTATTTCCATTCCATCCAATTCATTTTCCTGAGCTGCCATACTACCTACCTTCAGCCTGGGCTAGAAGCTGAAAACATGAAACCCTTCAAAGCTGTTCTACAGAGTTTCCAAACCCAAAAGCCTGTTTTGAAGTACTAAGCTTGCGCAAGTACTCCCAGTTACATGTTGGAACCCCTTTGGAGATTTCTTTCTCACTGATCTCATCACTAACAGCACAGTTCATCTCACTGTACAATACCAAAATGTTCCATAGTCTTCCCAAAGCTATGGCACACAATTAGCTAAGCTATGTGAGAAAATATTCATCAGTTGTCAGACTTGTGGTTCCAGCTAAACTCTCAAAATGGTCTCCAAACATGCAACTACCACATCTGCATACACTCTTCACACACAGTCCCAATTCAGCACACACACAACGGTTTGTATGCGCTGACCGGACAGCCAGATGTGTCTGTGGTTCCAATTGGTTGTGAATTGAATGATAATTGACACTGACTCTTGGGGCATGTCCTGGTAAGTGTGCAAGTACAGGTTGCAGCACCTCAAACCTACTTCAGGTGCCACAAAGTGCATGTGGAGCACATGTACCTGTTTGCTGCACTGCTAATTTGCAGCAGAGTGGATTTTTTTGGCACTGGGAGATTCCAGTGTCAGAAAAAATACGCTGCTAAAAAAAGCAGAGCAAAGCAGGCAGCAGGTTCTGAGTGGCCAGCTCTGTGCTGCTGCTGCCCCAGGAGGCTTCCAGGACCTCAAGTAAGGCTGCTGGGGCCACCAGAGGTGTTGGCCTCAACCTCCCCTACCCCACCCAGGTTAATTTGACACATACCAGAGTGCATTACAGGGGTGTGCCACTGCTATTTGTCCTGTGGGAAACACAAGCCCCTACATATGCGCACTTGTCAGGACTCACCCTTGGAGTCTGTTTCAAGAGAAATAAAGAAACTGTATCTTATATTTTAATGGTAAAGAATATTCAGAATCAATCAGCTCCCCTAAAAATCTCTAATTCGGCAGAAGTATTACCTGTGCTATTAATGATTTAATAACAAAGTAAACTCACAGGAGACTGCTGAATATAATTCTCAAGTTTCATAATGAATGTTTCATTTTCTAGTGTCTTATCTGCTCAGTGCAGACACTTGTGATTATAAGCTAAAGCAGTGGTTTTCAACCTGTGGTCTGTAGACCCCTGGTGGTCTGAAGACTATATCTAAGGAGTCAGTGAAAAATGCTTATGATCAATCAAAAATATGTGCATACCTATGCTTACAACAAGGGGTCTGCACCTCCATTTTAAATGTTTTAGGGGTCCACAAACAAAAAAAAGGTTGAAAACCACCGATCTAAAGAATAATATAGTAAACTAGTTGAAGTTCATTAGGGAGAATAAAGTTAATAAAATGACAAATAACAAGTGTGATTTATTCTATTAATGATGATAGTCATGAAGAAGAAAGCCTTTTGATAGTGTCATCTGCTATGCCATACCTAGGACAGATTATAATGTTTTTAAATAGGTGCAATGGTCTTTTACTATTCAGTACAATTTTACTTTCTGTGTCTTGCCTCAGGAGATCTTATCATGAGAACAACATTCTGTAAATTAGAAAGTCAAACAAGCTATGATATTCTCAAGAACTAAACAAGACAATGCTTTAATAAAATTTCTCAGGAAAAACAAAGTGAAAGATCATTACAAACCTTTGAAACCTTCTTATTTTAATTCAGCCCCACAACTCATCTCTGTATGCATACTTGACAAAAAACTTAGATATCTATTTACCTTGTGGTGAAATGCGTTTCCACTGGTTTTCAAAATGTGGTTTAGTTAATGTAATGTATACTAAAATTCAATACATGGCTTACATTTGTTTACAAGTAACAAGAACCTATGGTAGCTGGGTTGCCTCATAGCAACAGCCAGTCAGCTGACATGGGCACTGACATCAAAGGTAGTAGTGTCGGTAGTGTCCCTGGCGCACACAATGATTTTAAACATTGAGCTGACCAAAGCTTTCCACAGCTCTGAGCAATGATTATAATGATGTCAATAGGAATTCCACAACAGGAAATAATGATATCTCAGCTGCTTGTTCCCATGTCAAATATCGTGTCTTTATAATAAAAATCTGTGTTTCCAAATGCCCAGAAGTGAAGCTCACCATTAATTAGTGTAAATGAAGTTCGCCATTAATTAGTGTAAATGAACAACTGAAGGTGGTATAGAAAGCAAAGCAGGCATACAGAGTCATCACTGGCAAATTAAAAGGTAATTCTTAGCTGCAAATGTTATTCAGTGATCAGTTATGTCCAGTGGTGCTCAATGTTTGAGCCCTGTTGGCCAGATGAGTGGAATAGAGACTGCCCACAGGCCAGATCAGGCCCACCATGCTGGCCCCTGTACACCTGGGTCAGGTCCTGCACCAGGTGTCTAGATAGGGCCTGCATAGCCCCAGTCCAGCCCCACATTCCTGGAATGGACCTGCAATGCCTTGCATGCCTAATCTAGCATGCAGGGCCATGGCTCTCCAGCCTGTGGGGTTCCCCATGATCCAGAAATTTGGTAGCAAGGGAGCAGAAATGAACACTGCCACTGCTACACTGCCATCTTTTTAGAACTGTGGGGAGCCTATGGGCTGGATGACATGGCTTTGGAGGCCAGGAGTTAAGCACCCCTAGTTATGTCCATAGGTGTCTGGTCATAATACTCTGATTCTCCCATACCCACTCCACAGCACCAGAGGTCCTCAGCCCTTTCTTTCGTGGATGAAGGAAACCAAGCTTGGTACTTATGCTACCAGGGAGGTAGGGAGTGGAGTTGGAGGATTTTGCCCTAGGCTAGTGCAAGTAGAGGGGTGGTCTATTCTGCCCAGCCAGACAGGAACTGCAATGTTGTTAAAACTCATGATTTACCACAGATCTCTCAATTTTTGGTGTGTTTCTTACAGCTCCAGTTGCTGGAAGCAAGATACAGGTTGAGAATTACAGCTTTCATTTTTAAGTAAGTTTCTAGTTAGTAGTTGCAGCAAAAAATCTGAGAATGTATAGCAAGCATTTCAGAACATCTTGAAACCAGAAGGGAAACAAAAAGAACCCAAAGGTATTATTAAAATATATATATATATGTTAAAGTCAATGTCATGTCTTATGGAACCTGACTTGGGATATTTTGACATAGTTGGTACTAGTAAAGCAGGGATGCCAGAGAGCTGGGTGTGTCACAGTGAGGCAAGGACCTGAGAAGGAAGAGGCACAGAAAGTGGCAGAGGGCAAGGAGGGTTAGGGCAGGGGCCAGAGACCATGAGGTGTAGGCAGTGAGGCTTGTTTGTACTGCCAGGATCCTCTTGGGGCCAGATGTGCTTCAAGGTGACTGACCCATTCACTGAATCATCACTCAGCTCCAGCCTGGCTGCACTTGTTGCAGCATACAGGCTTCTCCCCAGTGCCCAAATGACTTGAGGAGAAAGGAGTTTGGGAATGGAGTTAAATCCACCCCATTTTGCTGGTCCATATTGCCCTACAGTTGTTACACCTCTCTCAGCATTTGTGGGCCTGAAATTCACCCACCTGAAATTCTCTAGGATGGAGACACTGGTAGGGTTGCTCTTGGATAGAGAAACAAGAATGAAAGCCTGTCCTCTTGGGATCTTCCTAGAATCCCTTCATGCCAAAGGTGCAATAACTATCTGGAACTTATATCAGTACTTGGACAGTAATAACCTGGGCTGGGAGGCATCAACATGGAGGAGCATTGCAATATTATACAGGAACAACTGGATGATGTTGAAGACTGGAATGACAGAAAGGGGGTAAAACAGTACAAAATGCAAGGCCATCTAGAAAGAAGAACTATTAAGCTGGTGTCTTATCAACTAGATGTGACGGTAGAGAGGGAATTAGGTATAATTCTCAATCACAAGATGATGCTGGGCTATCACTGTGATGTGACCATGAAAGAGACAAATAAGATCCTAGGATTTACCAGGCATAATATTTCCAGTAAAGACAGGGAAATATTGATGCCATGAGACAAGGCCCTGATCAGCCCTCAACTGGAATACTGAGCACAGTTCTAGCTACCCATGCTCAAGAAAGCTCAGTTCAAAGTGGAGCAAGTGATAATAGTTACCAGGATATTCAAGGGAGGGAAAGTCTGTTGGGTCAGCAGAGAGCTCATTTAGTCTAACCTGGGAGAGTGGTGTGATTACTGTCTATAAATACATCAGAGGATAAACAGCAGACAGGGAGAATAGCTATTGAAGCCAGAGGAAGAATGCTGGCACAAGAACAAATGAAAACTAATTGTGAATAGTTTTTGCCTGAAAGTTGGAAGAAGGTTCCTCATTGTAAGAGCAGGAAAGATCTGGAACGACCTCTCTATGGGAGCAATAGGGACAGAAACCTGTTTACAAGACAGAGTTTAATCTGGTTATGGAAAAGGTTATATGACATGGTGCCTATAAAAGAGGCGACTGGGCTTGGTGACCAGGGATGTCACTTCCAGTACTGTGTTCTTCTTGTCTTTATCCCATTCTACCTCCAAGCCCCTCTGGCCTCCAAGATAGGCCCCTACCTATTAAAACAACATCAGTTTCTAAGGTTCAGATCACAGTCATGAC